CACAAAATGGACATATAGTGTCCGGATGAGGAGGGTGCCTGCAGTCAGGAACGGAGGGACAATCCTGTACACACATGGATGCAGAAACCATCTCGTGGTAGTGATTGTGACAAAGATGATGGCGAGTACAGCCAAGTGCAACAGTGTCTGTGGCTGTGCAAAGGAGACTCTCGCTTACACTTGGTGAAAGCTTAGATGCGCTGACAATTGAATGTGAATCTGCAGGTACTGCCTGAGGAGTACTTTCCCTGGGACATTAGTCAAGTTTCAAGAGTGGATGAACTCTTCGATAAAATCGACTTGAACCAGGACGGCGAGCTGAGCTTTGAGGAGTTCAAGGCTGCAATTCAATCGGAAAGCTATTTGATGTGGCCTCAGCAGCTTTTCAATAGGGGAGCTAATGTACGGCGACGGGAATGACAAATCATCATGAGGTGGGCTGACCCGGAATGACGGAGACTGTTAATATGTGAGGTAATGGCCAGCAAGTAGTTACCGCGACGGGAGTCCATCTCTGTCGCACACAGCAGGGAGCAGTTGTAACTTATGTGTGAAGACGCGACTCATGACGTGTGTGACGTCACACAGCAGGGTAATTGCTAAGCAGGAGGCCAATGTATTGAGACCAATAGGCTCTGCTAATTTGCTCTTAGACGACCAGTTAAGTAGGGCGTAGGAGGCCAGTGACGTGTGTGACGAGGAAGCAGGGAGGCCAGTGAGTGATGAGAGAACGTGAAAGGAGGGCACAGCTCATGCGGAGAAAGCCAGCAACTGGCACGAAGGAGACCGATACCTTGTGAAGAGGCCAAATGGAGGAGAAGGCAGCAAAGTTTGAAGGAGGAGAGATCTGTAAATTTGATGATGGACAAATCATGGCAGCAGCATAGATGGAAAAGAGTGCAAACTTAAAAGAGGACAACGACTCGGGAGCAGGGTTACAACAAGGACCTAAGAAGGAAGTGGAGGCGGTCAGTATAACTTAAGGAAGGAGGAGGTCAGTCATCTTGACCGCCCCACTCCCCCCCTCCCCCTCCCCCTCCCCCTCCTGGTCTTACTTACTTATCATGACCGCTGGCACAGAGTTAGTCAGGGGTTCTTCTAGTGGTTCTGTAAGGTCTGAAGAGGAACCAAAACACTAGCAAAGTAGTGGGCCAGTGATTTAAGTGGAGGTGGAGGGGAAGTGGATTGAGTTGAGAGGAGGTGGCTGGTCGCTTGTGAAGAGGCGGATATCTCCCAAGGAGGCCCATGTCTTCCCAGCAAGAGTTGAGCTCCCAAGGAGACCGGCGCCTGTTAATTCAAGATGCTGACTAATGCTATACTGAGGAGGGGGAGGGGTTGGGGAGGCGGAGGGCAAGGGGGAGGGGGAGGTGGTCCTCAAGGAAGCTGCTGACGCTTGAGAATCTGTGTAACCATTTGGAGGGAGATGGGAGATTTCAGGAGGCTGATGACATTCAGGCAGCCAAGGACGTTCTGAGCGTACATGCTCTTGACGCTTGCCCAGGACTTACTTGAGCGCACATGCTCGTCATGCTGGAGATGTGAAGAGGCTGGCTTGGTTTCCTACACAGAGGCTGGTGACTCCGCCTTATTGGACTGCGCATTGGTGAGTGAATCGGATCACTGATGTTCCTTTCAGAATGCAAAGAACTGTCATAGAGAGCTGCAGCTCTCAAGGAGTCCGATAACTACCACTGAAATCCATTGGACTGGTGCAAGGTGGCGAGGCCAGGGGGAGAAAAAAAGGAGGGGAGTGGATAATAAGAGTCCGCTTAATGCCACGTCGCAAACTAACCGGGCTGTCACAGTGGATGGTGAATTACTGCGAAGTAACGAAGGAGGGAGTTGAAGAAGAGTAATCGATCAGGGAGGGAGATTCATTCCAATGTTTTTTTTTTCCCTCAGTTATCTGTGCTTTCCTCTCAGCTTCCTTGTCAATTCACTTTTTTATATATGTGGCAGTCTTGAACCCCTTTGATGGTGTGGCCAGGCATCAAAGCATTCCCGGTGTGTAAAAATAATGTAAGGCTTCGAAGGACATCTGTTGAAATTCGAGCGAGACAGAGAAAAGGTTAATTAATTAGCATGCCCCCTGTGCACGGATCACACGCATAAATCTAGACAAAAAAGAATGACTGCCAAACAGATGCAGGCTGGGACGTTCGACGTTCTTGAAAGAAAGAAAGGTAGGGAAAGAGAAGTTGGGGGGGGGGGGGGGGGGGGAAAGATAAGATTGCTCAGGGG